CTCAAAATGTGATTACCCACTGACCGCCCCTCCAACCCCCAACACTGGACTTTGTTTTAGGAACAATTATGCTGGGGACCAAAGGCTTTGGTGGGAAGATGACACTGTTCAAGGGGTTCTGGTGGAGACAGCCTCCAGTGTAAAGAAGCAATAAAATATGTGGGCCCTACTCACTTAAATTTATAGTTAGGAAGTGCAATATTAAAAGGATTTGAAAGAATCAGCAGAAAGGGCTGTTGGGTTCTCAGAAGTGGGAATCTCCCCTTCCTCCACACACAATAGAGGGAAACTAGTTCATTCCCTACTTGCTTTTGTCCAGAGACTGGGAAGGCTGTGAAATTCCAGGCACCACTTAATAGCTACTCTGTTTTGAAAAAGAGGACTCTTTCCACCTGTCATTATCACATCTGGCCTTCTGCAGATCTGGAGATGTTTTGATTTATTAGAACCTTAACTTCTCATCCTAAACCCTCCATGCCCCCCCTATTGCTAACTGCCCATGTCAGCTGTCAAAGGATCAGTGGGTGATTTGTGGCAATTATTACGACACCCAATTCTCTGTGCACACCACAAGGCTGAATCCTCATTTGATCCAAAATGCTCCGGGTGACTTCTTTCCTGCAGTTTTACTTTCTTAAAAGCTACAAAACCAGAGACAGGGGAAGCATCTAATCAGTGTTGGCTATTATTATTTTTGTTACAGTTGCTATAGCAGTACTGACCAGGGCTTTGCTTAGAAAACCAACCAACCAACAAAACCCCGCACAACTGCATCCATGTTGCTGTTTTCTAAGTGCCGAGAGAAACTGGTTTCTTGAACACAGCTGAGTGTGTTTGCCCAGCAAAGTTCAGTTTTGAAACTGACACAATAGGGGGCCTGTGTGGCTTCGTTCCGGGAGGAGGGGGTCGTTGGCCAGCAGCTTGTGTCTGGTTGGACTGCTGTGTTGATGGGAGGGGAGAATGTTCTCTGTGTTGGCCTCTCTCAGATTGTCCCCATGTTGCTCCTGGTTCGCAGAGTGGATCCAGGAGAATCGTTGGCTGCTCTCTGGAAACGGTGCCTTGACTTCTCGGTACCCTGACTTCCAAAGTCGCTCATTTTGACCAAGGTGTGACATCATGACACCCCAGAGCATCTAGCTGTCTAGGCCTCTAGGTTTATTCAGTGGCCTCCTTCTGAGTGTTTATTGGATGATCCAGAAACCCATCTGAGGGCCCAAAGGACATTTGCAGTGTGAATGGGAACCAACTCCCAGTCCCTGTCCTCACTATAATGTGGATTCGGGTCCAGTCTTCTCCCTGAAAAGGCGAGACCTGGGCTGTTTTGGGGGATGGGGCTTTAGACCCCAGGATCTAGTTCCCTAGGCCTCACCCTCCTTACCTGAACAGGGAGACTGGAGGCTGCAGGCTCTTGCAGCTGTAAATTATATGGTTTACTGAAAGGACCTCAGTTAAGTTGAATAGATGTTTGTTATACATATCCCTGTGTAGGAATATCCCTGTTTTAAGAATGGTTCTAAAATCCAGATTTACCAAAAGATAAAATAGGGTGGAAATTTATCACTGAGAGAATCCTGACAATAGATAGCTGCAGTGTGGTAGGTGGAAAGCCCTGACTTAAAATTCGGGTCTGAATTCTGTCTGTCTGATCTTGGGCACGTCCCAGGACTTCTGAATCTCAGGCTTCCCCATCTGTAAAATGGGCACTTGACCACTTAAACCTGCGACCTTGTCATGAGTCCGTAAGTCCACATTCTTTTTACCAGGAGATTTTGCCCATGAACTTTCCTGGTGAGGGTCCAGTGCATTCATGCCACAGACCACGTTTAGGGAAAGGTACAGCTGGCTCCTATTTCCTAGAGGTGGATGACAGGCCTGGAAATGATCCCAGCAGCCTGTGGTGGGGTCAGGCTGGGCAGTGGTGATGTCTACTCTGGCTTTCTTTCCTGTTCTGCAGGCTCCTCTCACATACCAGGCCAGGGCCCCCAGAGACAGGGCTTGCAACATTGGATTCCTGGCTTTTGAACAAGGGGCTGACCAGAGGGCTTGGCTTATGCAACTGCACCGGACTTCTCCCAGAATCTGAGGAACCCTAGCCCACTCTGGCCCTCATTAAATAAGCACTCAGTGAGATGCTCCGGGAAGTCCCTGACCCCGGGCCCACCTGCTGGTGCCTCAGATTGTAGGTTGGATGGTGAGTAGAGGTCAGTGTGTCTGGCTGCTGTGCCCTCCTCCACATGGTGGTCCAGTTTGGATCCAAAAATGTGGAAGAAACCAAGGTTTAATGCCTGCCTCCTGCCTGCCAGTCAAGGTGCTGGACCCTTCTCTGTTTCCTCAGATTTCCTGGAAATCCACCAATCTTCATCATATACATGGTTTTTTCTCTTGACACGAGAAGGGGAGGGAGATAAAATCTGAACCCAGAGACTGAATCTGTAAACAGAAAGTTGGGAGGCTACTTCATCTCAGCAGAACCTGGTACCCTATCTCCCTCAGACCCTCCTTGGGGTCTGAGAATGCCACTGAAGCAAGATAGAATGTTCTTGTTCCCCAGGTGTGCTCACACAGGGACACCTGGCTGGCCTCACAGCTGGGCCTGGAGCCCCATGCTAGTTCCTTCCCTCATTCATGCATCCTCTTTGGGCCGAGTCTATGCTGAGCCGTGGGGAGACAGTGGTGCTTCATGAAGATTCACGTCTTGTGGACATTGTAACTTTGCCCTTTCCTGCCAGCCTCCTAGCACTTTCCAGAGACAGGCCTTTGTTACACCGAGTCTCACCATCTGGTGCTTTAATGGAGAAAAGTCCCTCCTACGCAAGCTGACCTAGAGAAAGGGGTCTCGAAAAGACCTTGACCCTCACTCTGCTTGGTTGTAGCAGAGGTCAGAACCCTGCGGTGTGGAGGACCTGAGCTCCCCGTGCCCTCTCCTGCCCCCGGGAGTATCTGGATGGTGGAGCTGCTGGGAAAGGAGAGGGCTGCTGCTGGAGGTCTTCATAGAGCAGGTCCTTGGGGCGTGCACCGACGTGCATTCACTCAACAAACCTGCCGTGATTACTGATTTGCCTGCTGAGCTTGCTGAAGCTACCCTGGCAAGGATTTTGAGGTAGTTAGGATGCTTTCCCAGACTTTCCGCCTAATGGAGGAGCCAGGCAGGCAAACAGTGGAGACCCCAGTAGCGTGGCTTGCTGAGAGCACCTGGGAATTGGGAATATGACCAGACAGTTGGTCAGTCCAACTCCTTCTTTTATGGGAAATATTCCCGGAGTCTTGATGGTGTCTTGTCCCGAGTCACACGCTCTTTGGCAGAACTGAGAGAGAAGCCTGATTTCTCTCTCCCCACCCTGCCCTCCTGGCAGTGTGACATTTCTCTGCTTCTGCTCTACCCCATCTTTTTAGCTTCCTGCTGGAGGCTTTAACTCCAGCCGGCCCCTGAGGGAGGCAGATCCAGGGCTCTGTCTGTCCCCTTTGGTATCTGCTTTCGCCTTGGCAGATTTATTCCCTGGTGAAACTTGCCGCCAGCATTCCTCTGAGGTGGTCTGGAGAAGGACCTGCAGTTCCCAAGGCTGGGGAGGCCTGTGGGATGCTGGAGGGAGGCCTTATCAGATCTGCAGCCCAGGTGTGCGTGAGTGCCAGGAGGCCTCGGGTTTCCTGCCTGGGGACAGCGATGGGAATGCCTCCCTTCCCGCTGGGTTGGCTCAAAATCCGGGAAAGCTGCATTCCCCACCACAAATGTCCTGGACCTGCCTAGCGGCTGAGGTCTGGAGAGGGCCGGCAAAGGCCCTGGTCCTTGGGGATGGTATCCATAGTGGTGGGGCAAGGAACCAAGCCTGTGGCCAAGTCTCTCTCAGCTGTGCTTTTTGAAAAAGGACATCCTTTCAGAAGAGGCTGATGGGAATCTTCTTCTACATTCAGTTCAAAGGGAAAGCTGCGAAGAGGTGCCTTCAGGGTTATGGTAAGGACCTAGGAACATCGTGAGGGCAGACGTGGAAACCTTCCTATTCGCCTGTTCTTTCTAGGCTCTTGGCATATGTTGCCCCATTTAATGGTCACCAGGACCCTGAGTTAGTAGGTAGTGGAAGCTGGGTTGGCTGGTCTTCAGAACTCATGTACTGAACTTCACAAATGCTTCTTGAAACTTCTAGTTGGTGGGGATTCTGGTCAGAGTCATGACTGCTGAGTCCAAGAAAGTGGCCAGTAACAAAAAGGGCTGGCCTAGGGACCCTTGGTAGCTCAATTCCAGGCCTTCTGGTGGCCACCCCAGGCTGCACAGCCTCTGAGCTCGGGCCGGGGGCTGCTTCCCTAAAGTGCGGCCCAACACATCCTCAAAGACACGTCCCTGTTGGCGAACTGTGAAGTAATCGCTCTGTGTTGGTCTCATTCTGAGAAATGAGAAGCTGCCTAGTGATCAACTTACTCATAATTGTTTTAATGGATACCTGCCTTATTCTCTCTGCATCATTCATCTAGTGAGCACTGCATCCTTTAGCTTTCCAGTTTCATTAAAATACTTTAAAACACACATGGTACATGCTTACTGTTAAAAAGAAAGCACAGATGAATCAGAGAATAAAAATGACTCTTAGAGTCAATGCGTATTGATATTTGTCTGTATATTCTTCCTGTGTTTTTTATCCTCTGCATTTGCCTACAAATGTGCACAGGTGTATTTGTGGAGCTCCCCATGTACATTGCCTTGTACATGTCTTCTGTCTGCAGTGCATCATCACTGTTGGTGGCTGCATCGCGTGGTCATATCGTAAATTCAGTCCCTGCTTGTCGGCCTTTCAGGCTGTTTCCACGTCTTGTTATAAGTCTTGGTGCAATGAGGGCACGAGTGCATTCTTAGAAGTGGAATTTGCTGGGTCAAAGTGTATGAACACATTTAACATCAGCACTATTCTTTGAAATCGTTAGGACCTGATAAAGTGCCCCCTAACTCCTGCACTCCCCCGCAGGTGTGCCGGGAACGTTTATGCATTTACTTCTTTGCCATTGGATCTGTGTCCACCCTGAGGTCGAGAAGGGTGAACAGGAGACAGGACGTGGCCCCCATGGCTGAGTTTCTGGGTTATGTGTCCAAGATTGGGTTCTAGTTTTGCGGTTACCAGTAGTAAAGGGGGGCCCCCAGGGCTGACTGTTTAAAGTGGGACTTTTCCTTGCTCCCAGACTGTAGAGTGGGGGCTGGATGTCTGTCTGTGCCCAGGGGCTGGTCACCTCTGGGCAGTGCACAGCCATGTGGTGAGGTTTTCCTCACTTGAGGCTCATGAAAGATACCTCATTGAACTGTAACCTCGGTTTCATCACCAGCCACAAATAATGATCAGAGCATGGCTTGAGGTACCTTGGCTTTAGGGTTGATTTATCAGAGTCCTGGATTCCTAAAGCAAGAAGGTGACAAAGGATCTTGGCATTTCCATCTGATCCAGCCCTCTTGTCTGCAGATGGGGACACTGAGGGCCCGAAGGGGATGTGACTTGCCAGGGATACATAATAATATGCATACTGTTTATGTATGTTGTTTATTAACCTGAACAAAGAGTGGAGGAGAGATGGGTGGTTATAAAGGAGCACTGAGCTGGGAGTCAGACCTGAGCTCATGCCCTGGAGTGAGACATTATACCACCTTGAATGAAGGCAAACAGCAGCCTGTCATCCCATCCTCCTGGGTGGGTAAGGAGGCGTCCTCAGCCTCAAGGGGTTTTCTGCAAGAGGAAGCAAATAGGTTTGCTTTCCCAGCTCCATCTCAGTGTCTTAGGGACCTTGGGGACTGAAGAGATTCTTGGGGAGCAGTCCAGGGTGTCCAGTGGGTGGGGCCTTTTTTGAAGCCAGTCTGCCCAGTGGGCTGGCTCAGCCTGGCTGGATTATCTGAGTCTTTGAACCTGACCTGACTGTACTTTCAAGGATTTCTCATCTTTCCCCTGAAAGATCCCCTGAGACTTGGTGGGTGAACCTTTACTCCTGTAGGGCCTGATGTTTGTTTTTAATTTGTGCTGATTTTGCATTCTGTACCCTGATACATTGTACAGTGTTTACCATTTTGCTTCCAGATGATATAGCCTTTTAATCCAGTGTCTTTGTGTCCATGTTGGCTTTTCCCCTTGTTCCAGACCCCAGGTGGAGATACAGAGGCGTACCTAGGGGAATGGGTCAAAAATGCTTTGTCGCTTATTCCCAGGCATGATTGTTTCCCACCTGCATTGAAAAAGTCTTAATTCAAACTGCCACCACGTATGAAACCTATATATTTGTATACATCTGTATTTCTCTGTAGTCCTGGCCTTGGTGGGTGACCGTGTGTTTTCAACTGGGCAGATTGCCTTTGATAATGGAGCTGAAGTCATCCTGTTTGCTTGCTGTTTTTCTCTCCCCTCCCCCTTTCAATTTTCCATTTTCAGAATAATTGCAAGAACAAATTAAGGGTTGTGTTTAAAATTTTTTAAAGGGCCAGGGGAGAAAGCATAATGTATTCTGTGGAATAGACCAGCCATGGTTAGGAAAAATGACTTTTCATACAGCATAAACTGTAGACTTGAATCTGCACTGTGTTGATCATGAGGGTTTTGCTTTCTGCAAAGCTGATGAGATACGCTGCTTGTAGAGTGGTGGGCCTCTTCTTTGACAAGGCACCTGGAGGTACTGAGTCCCAATTTAGCCTATTCATTTGGGTTGGGTTTTGATATGTAGTAGCAGGACTGTCTTCACTCATGGTGCACAGAGAGTTTTGCTGGCCAGAAAAAGAAAAATTACTGGTCATATTTAAAGTGACCTGAGTGTCCTCACGCATGGGGCACGATCTTGAGGATCCCCTCCTCCCAGTCTGGGACCCTCAAAAGGGCTTAATGCAGCCTTTTCTATGCCTAATCTGTATTCTGCAAGATGCTCTTGGGAAAGAGGGCTTCAAGTAGATGAGAACGTGCTACATCAGTCATGACTTGCCCAAGATGAAGATTAGTGGGTTGTTTTTTTTTGAATCACATTAAAACAATTAAAAACATTTTTTTTTAAACGGAGGTACTAGGGATTGAACCCAGGACCCCATGCACGCTCAGTACAGGCTCTACCACTGAGCTATACCCCTACCTCTGAAGATTAGTGTTTTAAAGGCTCTGAGAAGTCCTGCAGCAAAGGTTCCAAAACATATTTGTCCAGAGGATCTTTTTTCCATTGAACTTAGGCGGGGGGAAAAATTGCCTTAAGCCATGAATAGGGGAAGAGACAAGAAATGGTAGGCTTAGTTTCAGTTACTGTTGTTTTTATGATACTGAGGTCCCCTTTGAGGTTCCAGTTAAAATTGGTTGGGTTGAGGAGAGGCTGGTGACCTCATACACTTACCTAACTGTCCAAGATTGCCTCTTATTGTGGGAGATACTCTCCAAAGGGAGACAGATTGTGCTCTTATGCCACACTAGCACTTAGAGACATATTTCACTTAATCCTCCCAATAAGAGGAGGAAGACCTGCCTGGAGAGGTCTGGATGTCTGGAGTCCTCACATTCTGCCTTCTCCTGGCCCTGCGCGGGCCAGTTAGCCTGACGCCAGGGGCATACTCACGCCGGGTCTGCCAGAAACCTCGTGACCCTCATGGTGGGCAGAAAACAATCCAGGAGAAATGCAGATGTCTGTGGGTGTGTTTTGAGCCTGGGGCTGCTGAGGGCAGGGGAAGGGCTGGGCTGCAGACGAGGAATGCTTTTTAAAACAAAAAAGGAAATGCTGGCTCAGAATGGAAAGGAAAGGAAGCAGCTTCCTGTTTCTGGTGTGGCTTTTTGAAAGGAGGAGCTCTCTCTAGCCCCATGACCAGCGGAGGCCTGGGCCGGCCAGGGCCACTCAGGGTGCATTAGGCAGACGTGCGGCTCCCACACCACTGCCAGAGGGCTCAGAAATAGAGGGCCTGGCCCACCCCTTTTCTTTCTCCCCAGGTACCTGATCAAATGGATGTGTGGTTTTCAAAATGAATATCTATGCATGTTACAAAATGGATGTATTGCAATAGCTGACTTTTACTGAGGGCTTACTCCACGCCTGGCCCCCTTTTTAGGAGTTTTATAGAGTGTTTACTTCTCACAACGATCTTGGGGAAGGTTCTATTGTTATTCCCTTTTTTAAGATGAAGAAACTGAGGTACAGAGCACAGTTAAGTGACTTGCCCAGAATCATACAGCCAAGGAGAGACTTAATTACCTACCAGCACTGCCTGACTTGTATTTGCAAACTCCTGGAAAATCTGTTAGCACAGAATACTTTTTTTTAAGGACTGGTGGCCTTAGTCTGGCTCCAGAGGGCAGCCCCCAAAGCCTGGATCAGGCTCTTGGTGATTCTTAGGTGAAATGCCTACATCTGAGTTTAGATTATTTTTTTAGAGTTTATTATGGAAATAATCAAACATGCACAAAAGCTGAGAGAGTGCTACGACAAACCCCTATGCAGGGATCCTCCAGCTTCAGCGATAACCAGCTCCGGCCAGTCTTGGGTCATCTTGGCAGTTTACACTCGAGGAAGACTGGTTTTGAGAAGGTGGTGGCGCTGGGCAGTGGCGGTCAGGGAAGCAGAGTGACCGGGGGAGACCTTCCAGCCCCGCCCCGTGCCTTCAGTCAGAGCTGCTGGGACCCCAGCCAGCTGGGAGGCATCTCTCTACCTTTTCCCATGCAGTGACCATTTAAAATTTCCCCTGAAGCTGACTCTGGCTTCTGGGAGGAGAGTTGGCAAATACCAGCAGACCATGTTCTCTAAGAAGCTCCTGGTAAACCCGATCTCAGTGGCTCCTGCCTTGTGAAACAGGGTCCAGGACCCACTAAGGGGCTTCATTGCCTTTTGTGGTTCTTCTCATGGTTCTGCTCAGTCCTCCTGAAGCCCGGTCCTGCTGACCACGGTTTCATTTTTTTCCACTGTGGTCTCGTGTCCCCAACAGAGGTGGTTTTCTGGGTCGCTTTCTGTTTGTTTCATTTTATCTTGTAGACTATCTTCTCACCAGTGTTTCTCGGCGCCGTGTTGCTTTTGGCTAGCCGCTTCAGATCTCCGGGTTTGGCCTCCCAAACACAGTCATGATGTCATTATGGGACAGGACGGTCTGGAGCACTTAGTAGGATGTTGAGGGCCGCAGTGAGGACTTAAGGGTGCGCCTTGGCTCTGGGGGAGTCACCATCCCCTCCTGACTCTGTTTCTTGCCAGCTCTGTGACCTGGGGCAAGGTTTAGCTCTCTGAACCGCTGTTTTCTTGGTAGTTAAAAAGGGATAAGAATAAGTTTATTTTAGACTCTTGTGAGGAGTTGCTGAGTATGGAAAGTATGCTGCACAGTGCCTGGTGCTTAGAAGGAATTCGATATTTCTTTTAACCCCTCTCACTTAGCATTATTCTAAAATTCTTGTCCACGTTTCTCTATTATCTTCCTTTTGGCCATTTTAATTGCTGCATGCTATTTCATCCAGTGGGTCTGCTGTAATTTGCTAAAACATTTCCCCTGTTATTGGACATTTCGGTTGTTTCCAGATTTCTGCCATTATAAACAACGTGACTGGAATCATCTTTGTACAGGCACCTCTTTATTTTTGTTCCTATTCTGAATTCATTTCCTGGGGATAATTCCCAGGAATGGAATTACTGGGTCAAAGAGCATGGAGATTTTTGGTGACAGGAGTTGCAAAACTGTCCTCCATTTTATGCTTTTTGAATGATAGCTATCTTAAAATTTGTACTCCTGGTTGAATAGATTATTTTTTCTTTGCAGTCCTTTTTAGTCTCTGTGTCTTTCTTCTCTCACCTGATTTTTTTTTTTTTTGGCCTTGTTCACTCATTTCCTATCTTCCTTCCTTTTTTAAAACAATTTTTATTATAATAAAATAAATAAAATTGTAAGACATCTAAAGTCTGCAAATCATTATAATAAAATAAATTAAATTGTAAGACATTTAAAGCTTGCAAATCATTATAATAAAATAAATAAAACCGTAAGACATTTAAAGCCTGCAAATCATTCCCTGTCTTGAATTTGCTGTTTATTTCTATCTTCTATCCATTCACTCATCGACTGTTTTTTGAGCATCTACTGTGTTGCCTGTTTTAAGTACTAGGAAAAGAGCAGTGAAGAAGACAGAGCAGTTCCTTTAATGGAAAGAGAAAGATAAAAAAAAAAAAGAAGCCAGCAGGCAGAGAAAAGTGGCTGAGATAAAGCACACTGGAAGTGGGTTAGAGTGATGATGAGGTGGGGAGAAGACTACTGGCTTTAGATCGGGTGGTCAAGAAAGCTTCCTTCTCAGAGAAGGTTTGAGCTGAGTCTTAAAACGTGAGAAGGCAGCAGCTTGTGAAAATTCAGGTGAAGAGTATTCTAGGCAGAGGGACCAGCATGTGCAAGAGTCCTGGGGTAGAAATGAACTTGTTGGATTCAAGGACCAGAAAGGAGGCTGGTGTGGCTGAGACACAGTGAGAAGTAGTGGTCCATGAGGACTGTGATCCATCCTGAGCTCCTGCTGGTAGACTGGGACTGTTTCCCTCTAGCTGGGCCATGGTCAAGACTTGATGCACTGATTCAACAAATATTTGTTGCGCCTTCCAGTTAGGTGCCAGGCACCGCTGTGGGATGTAAGAGAGAAGGAGAAAGTCACCTCAGCAGGGGAGTTTATAGATGAGTAAACCCACAGAAGGTGCTGGTGAGGTGTGAGCGGAGGCCCTTTGTGCCGCACGGCTGACTCATCTCTGCAACCTGAGGTGTGCAGGGACTCGGGAAATGTTTCTTGATTTGAACCAAGCTGTACTTTATGCTGCCAGCCTTCACCGTGGTAACTGAAACTCAGTTGTCTGCTATAAGGCCTGGAGGTCTCAGCCTGCCAGGGAAGGGGCCCTGAGAACTGAGGTTGCCAGCTCAGAAGTGGGGCTGCCAATACCAGATATCAGGCATCACTTATGGGAAACGAGCCTGAGAGGTAGACCTGGGAAAGCCCCCGTTTACTAAGCTGCCCTAGTCTTCTCTGAATGGGGACTCTGATTTGTGAGTCTTGTTGGAAATATAGACCTGAGGACTTTGTGCTTGTCATCGTTTTTTTCTCTTAGGGTGTTGCAAAGAGAAGGGGTGTGAGGTCTGGGCAGTGAGTGCTTCAGGGTGCTCAACTGTGGGACAGCCTAGGTGTATACACCTAGTGAGCTGTGACCCCATGGCAGTTCTGGGAAATGGACCTAGTGGAAGACGCTGGCTGCCATTTTGTTTGGAGGCAGCTGGATGACTCATGAGCTATGGGGTGCTCTGATGCCATTGAGTTGGGGCCAGCTTTGACCAGACTTAACCTGCCCCTTTGGTTCCTTACATAAACCTTGTGACCAAGTGGGAAGAGAAGGCCGGATCCTGATCCTAGGAATATAATAACTCGGACTACCCATGCCCTCCTCCCTCAGTCACGGCCAACCTGAGATAGATGCTCCCAATTTTAACATATAAAGAGTTTTACGGGAGATTTCTCAGCTGGCTTCTCGGTAATGACAACCTTATTAGCCCATTTTGTGGATGAGGAAATAGGGCTCAAGATTACAAGTACTCTGTGGAGCTGGGGTTCAAGTCTAGAACTGTCTGATTTTATACCTGTGTTCATTTCATTGCACCTGTCAGAAACACACTTGACTTCGAGTTCAGAAATCTTCGGTAATGCTCAGCATTTTGGAAGAAATAATGCTGCACAGAAGATGGTGTGAAAATTTCCCTTTCCCCACACTGTTTGAAAGGGATTACCTCCGAGTTATAAACAGGACGAGATGGCCAGAGCATTGGAGTCCAGATTGCACGGACCATGTGCAGAAGGAAGGAGGCAGGATGCTCTGGTCGAGAAGGAGGATGGGAGAAAAGCGTGGGGGTGGGGGCCCAGGGGAGGTGGGCTCAGAGCAAAGGCTCTTCTCCGATTCTGTCTCAGAGAACTCAGCTTGGGGTTTGAAGTGCTCTAGTTAGGCGATGCCATTGTTAGCACTGGGCAGCACTGGGGCCTGATGGGGACGGCTTGTGGGCATGGTTGTATTTTAAATGTTGGTGGCGGTCTTAGGAGAGAGAAGGCGACAAGTCCCTGGGGAGAGTCCCCTTGGTGGCCCTGACTCATCCCGGCTGAGGGGACTGCACAGAGCAAGGAAGAATCCATCAGCAAATGGAAACTTGTCTTTTTAGGGGACAGGAAACTTCTTCTGTTGTGGTTGGCCTGATGGTTTATGAGGAGAGGTGAGCATTTGAGACAAAGTGCTGGGCCAGGCTCACAGCTGCATCTTTGACAATTTTGAGACTTTTAGGAAGTAGTTCTAAAAAAATTAAAAAAAAAAGATAAAAAGAAACCAAAAGCCAAAGACGTCGTTACTTGTAATAACCTGTGTGCAGACAACCACGTGGGCTCTGATTTGCCATGTGACTGACAAATGGAAACTGGCTCATTGGCACCAGTTCATTTTGCACCCCTTCCCCTACTTTGAGCCCCTAAGCCGGAGGGGGCTTCTGACTATTCTCAGAAAAAGACTCAGCTGGCCTCAAATGACCAGACCTTGTCTCGGGCATCTAACAGCTTAAACTAAACTTCCTCTCTGGCCCTGTTTGGTTTAAGCAGTTTCCTGGTCTGGCAGGATTTGTTTTCTTAGCACCCATCTTGTCAAAGCCCCAGTCCCACTTGTCACAGCAAACTGGCCCCAGTCACCCCGTGGCTGCCAATCTAGGCTGTGCTCGTGTTCTGAAAGTCAGACTTGCTGTGCTCCTGGGGAAGTGGGGCTGAGGCGGCCTCCTGGGGTCCACTGTCTGGGTTCACCGCTCCTACCTCCTCTTCCCCATTTCAGTTGCAGGGTGGGTGCTTGGCCTTATTCTGGAAGACTCTGTGGGTTCATGGGCTGCTTCTTTATTTGGATAAAAGACCAGGTGGGTGAGCAGAGCCTTGTAGCAGGTGAGAGCACAGGTTCTGGTGCTTGACCGCCTGGATTCAGACTCCACTCCCTTCCTGGCTAAGCTGTGTGTCATTGGGCAAATTGCTTAACCTGTCTGAGCAACAGTTTCCTCATCTATAAAATGGAGATCATGATAGAATTGTTGTTCATAATGAGATGAGCCGTGTAAAGCACGGCTGGCACAGAGTAAGACTCTTTTTATATATGACATTTACTATTTGATTTTTCAATGAGTATTTAATTAGCACCCACTATGGGTTAGGCACCCACTGTTGGCTGGGCAGTGTTCTAAATGGGGAAGGAACTGAACAGAATGCACAAAAATGTCAGTCCCGTGGAACTTAGGTTTGAGTGTTAGGAGGAGACGTTCAGACAATAAGTGAATAATAAAATATGTTGTTTGTTAAATGGTGACTGTACTATGGAAAAAAATGCAAGCAAGAAGAAGGCTGGGCTAAGGAGGGGTATACTTTTAAGTGAGGGGTCAGGATGGCCTTGCAGAAAAGGTAGTATTTGAGGAAAGATCTCAGAAGGGTAAGACGGACTCTGTTTGGGGAAGAACTTTGGAAGCTGAGGACCAGCACGTTCAGAGGCTAAGAGAGTGAGCTTGGATTGTTGGAAAGCTCGGAGGCTGGAGTGCTGGGGCCAGGGGAGGCCGCCACTGGGTGCCCCGGGCCAAACACATAAGGGGCGCAGCTCTCAGGTGCCACCTACACTCAGGTGACCTGGAACCTGCCTCGTATCTAGGAGCACGGGGGAGAGAGTGATGAGAACAGCAGGTTGTGAGAGGTACCAGGGCTACGTGCAGGCTCTTCAGTGGGTCCAGTAAAATCCAAACTCAACCCTCATTTCTTATTGAGAAATGTAGTTTGGGGATTGGTACTCACTCACCTGCTATCAGAATGCCTGTCGCTGACTTACTGATGGTGCACTTTCTGACAACATGGACAGGTGGCGGGGCCCTGGCTGAGGAACCCCATGGCCCTGTCATCCATGAAGGATGCTGATGCTGTTGCACGGGTAAACTGCTTTCCTTCGTTCCACAGCATGGACTGAGCACCCAGGGGACTGGATCTGCCTGCACCTGTTGGTACCATCTCCTCCTCTGTAACCCCAGGACAGTAGCTACTCTTGAAATTGGAGTAGCTTTTCCTAAGGCAATCATTCAGTGGAAGAGAAAAGCAAAATTTAGGGGGGGTTTTGCATTATCTATAATACAGAAAAAAGATGAAAACAAGGTAGATGTCTGGTGGCGAGGGGATGGTTGAACCCAACTGTGGTATATAGCATGGGACGAGTTATTTTACACACAGCCATTCATTATGAAGACTTGGTAGAAACATGACCATATTGACGACCTTACATTTAGTGAGAACATACAGACAGCAAAATTGCATGTATGCAGCCTTTGTAGTTTTGTACTTACATAAAACTGTGTCTACAGGTGGAAAAAACTAGAAATGAGTTGTGTGTGGGGGGAACCGTTTTTGGAAAAATTCCATTATTGTCATTAATATTGTCATTCATTCATTTATTAAAGCAAGGATTATTTGAGTGCTTGCCACACTTGAGGCACTGAGCTGGTGCTCACATACTGGTGGACTTGACCAGAGAGCCCTGCCCCCTAGGCTGCACTTTGATGGCTCGGCCTGCCTCCCTTCTCAGGATCAAAAGCTAGCCGTGTGCTATGATACAAAACTCACACCTTCTGGAGTAAAAATGAGACCTGCAGCCTCTCCCCAGGGCCTTTACTGAGCCAGTGCTGGAGTCGGCTGAGAAGTAGAGATGTTTCCGGAGCTACCACTCCTCCTGAGGGAAGTGCTCTCTCTAGCAGACAGGCCTTGTGGGAGCAGAGCCCACCTGGTACCCAGAGGGCTCCCCACGTCTTGGCTGCCTGACTTGAGCAACACTGGGGCACCCAAGTCGAGATACAGCCTTCTAGGGAGCACCCTATCCTTTTGGCCGTGAAACTGCCTGGGTCGGGGGGGCCGTCCCAGAAAGGAGGACCACTGCGGTGGGCTCTCTCTTCTGGGTCAGACACTCAGCAGGAACACTGCCCCTGCTGCCGCCTGGGAAGCTGGGGCTTGGCTCAGAGACCCGAGTGGAGATGCCGGATGACCACCTACAGTCTTGCTGCCCACACCCTGGGAAGAGTCCTCTGGGCATCTGGACGATGGTGGTGGTGGTGGTGGTGAGGAGGATATTTATGACTGGAGCGAACGCTGAGTGCTCTCTGTTCTGGGTTCTCGGACGGCCCTGAGGATGCTGTGCTCACCCGTCCTTCCAGAGCATAGGCCGGAACTGAGGCCCAGAGAGGTGGGTTAGCCTCCTGAGGTCACACCGCGGGGACAGAGGTGACATTCAAATTGGGGTCTGGGTGGTTACAGAGCCCATGCCTTGGCATTTTCCATGTCACCAGCTGCTCCACCGCGGAGAGGAGCCAAATCTGGCTGTGCAGTGAAAAGTGCAACCAGCAGCTGCACCTCTGCCCCCTACTCCCACTCCCCGGGCACCCCACCCCCTAGAATGCCATAGCCTCTCCCGTGGCAGCCCCTCCGCCTGCCACCCGAATGTTCTGGGGCAGCCTCCTGTTCTCCAAGAAGGGTGACTAGCGCCCTTCTGCTTTAAAGGAAGGATTTCCTGTCTCTCTGAGGACAAAGACTGCGCATGACCTCTTTATCCAGAAGCTCCAGGGTCTCGTCCAGTGCTTGGCACAAAGTAAGTGCTCAGGAATTAAGGAGGGTTTGTTGTGATCAGTGCTGAATGAACCTCAAGACATTCCTGGAGAAATACGTGAAGCAGTGGAAAAGGCCGTCTAGTTGGGAATATGGCCTCTGGGGTCAGACAGCGTGGGTTTGACTTGTTCCTGTGCCCTTGACTGTTTCTAACCTTGGGCAAGTTATTGTACTTTTCTGGTTTCAGTCTCCCCATCTGTACAATGGGGACAATAGTAGGAACCACCAGTGAGGGCTGCTGTGCGGACTGAACGAGTAAGCGTGTAGGGCGCAGGGGACAGGGCTTGACCCTCAGTAAGCACTTGATAAATGCGACTTGTCTTTTTTGCTGTCACTGTTATTGTCACGCATCAGGGTAAGTAGAGCTGGACTTCTTGGGAGACCCCCCAGCTGGGGGTTTGGGTTCTTTCCCTCCCTGTGGCTTCAGAGTCCCTGCCCTTCCTCCACCTGGCCTGGGGCTCCATTGATAATGCGGGTGGGGGCTTAGCTCCCTAGGAAGGTTACATGCATGTGGGAAGGGAGAGTCTTGGGAGAGCCAGGCCTGAGTACCAGCTGTCTTGTCACTCTGTGACCCTGGATGGGTCCCCTCACCTTTGGGGAGCCATTTACTAATGTAGGAGGTGAGGGAGTTACAGGAACATTCCTGGGAGGATGGGACTGGGACTGATGCCATAAGACGCGGGGCACTGCGGGCTCTCAGCAGAGTCCCTCCCTCATCCTGGAGGGCGGGGCCCCTCTCACACGGGTGAGCTCCCCAGAGCCTGTTCCAGTGAGGAGGGGATGGGGACGGCTGGTTTCTCTTCCAGCTGCAGCACCCAAAGCTGAGCCAACCCTTCCTCCCCTACCTCTCTCTGTTGGTCCTGACTCAGGGATGGGAGGTCAGAAGGTGTCTCTCCAAGTGCAGGTGACAGAGATGGCCATTCACCCAGCTTCCTGCTCAGATCTCCTCCCCCTCACAGACCATCACACTGGCCTTCAGGCTTCTCTTCAAAGGAGGTCACCCCAGGCCTCTGCTGGGGGTTCTCCTGCTGGGTTCCTGGGAGGTGGGCTCTGTTTAGTGGGATGTGAACTGCGAGCACAGGTGTGGTGAGGCCCCTACTCGGTCAGGGTGTAGGGCTGGGGCTGATGGACGGGCAGCCGCACCACACTCCCGCTGGCCTGATGTGTAGGGGTAACTGCTGGAATCAGAGATGGACTGTGCTGCTGGGGACATCAGGGTCTCCGCAGGCCACGCAGGCAGAGGATGGTGGGTGTCGTGGAGAGGAACCCAGAGACTAGGAGCCTCTTCACCTTCCTTGGTGTCCGTGTGTGTGTGTATGTGCACGTGTGCGCAGGCCTTCGTGTGGGTAGGTCTCAATGTAAATAGCATCTCGGTGTGAAATTCAGGGGAAGATTTAATGATAAAAGTTTCCTTTAAAAATGTAAGACAACTCCTGTCAGCCCTCTGCTGAGAACCCTCCAGTGACTCTCTCATTCCACTTGGTGTGAAAACCAAAGTCAAGGCCGTGGTTTCTGTCCTCCACATCACACACTCTGACCCAGCCCTACCAGCCTCCTTCCTGTTCCTTCAACACACCAGGCACGTCAAATGTTGCCTTGGAGCCGTGTCCCTCTCAGAAGGCTCGTCCTCCAGGTGCCCACAGCCATCTCCCACCCCCTGAGTGAGTGAGGTCTTCCCTGACCTCTGTCCCCGCTGTTTGTCCCGCTGTCTGTCCCCTGCCCAGCTTCATTTTCCCCATCGACACACACTGTGTGGTTTACCTATTGATTGCCATCTACCCTCTCTAGAATGAAAGTTCCAGAAGGGTAGGGATTTTTATTTGTTTTATTCCCTGATGCATCCTTAATACCTAAATAGAACAGACTGGAATCATATTATTTAAATGAATGAAAAATAGAACAAAGTAAGTTATAAAGAAAACTGCCAATGCCTAGTGCAGTTTGGCTGTCAGAGCCCAGGGGGATCCGCTGAGTAATTTTCCAATTTTGGAAAACTGGAGTCATTGTAACACTACCAGTCAAGGACGAGAACAGTCTCGTGTGTATGTGTGTGTTTTCTTTGTGTCTACCAGCATAATGCTGGGTGTGTCCCAGGATTCTGCGATTCTGAGGTTGGAATAATCCTCTGATGTCAGTTTACAAAACAAAACGAACTTTGACCAGTACAGTTTTCATCCTGTCTTTGGCTGTGGTTGTTGTTGTAGACATTATATCTCTTGGCTTTTTTGTTTTGTTTTATTTTGGTCAAATATTCCAGAGATATTGGACTAAATCCTTGATCAAAGTCCTGTAGACTAGACATTCAGTTTTGTTGAAAATCCAAGTAGGTTTTTTTTTTTCTTAAACCAGATATTTTCTTTCAGGGTCTTTAATGGAATTCTCATGCATTTTGTGTTAAACGTGCTGCTGTGAGTTATCTCTTGGACCACTGAGCTGGGAGGCCAGAGACCTGAGTCTGCCATGACTGGCTTTGGGCTCTAGCGTCCTGAGCCCAGTTTCCATATCTGTGTGGTTGAGGGACGTGGCCTGGCTGATTTCCTCTGAGATCCTTTCCACTCTCTCTCATGGGCCAAACTAACAGATCATAATTTAAGTTCATAGCATATATGTGCCTTATTTTAGCCAAGGAAAGCATGCTGCACTTGGTATATATGATACTACTTTTGTCTGGGGCGCCTCCATCTTGGATCAGCCTCGTGCTTTCCTGTTGGTGGAGTTGGGGCCTGTGGAGCTGTGGTCCTCCTGCCTGGCTCCCTGGTACCCGGCAGTGTGATGTACCCAGGTCACCGCATTTGCACAGCTAGCGAACAGCATCCCGCCCTCACTCATCCATGTGGGGGTCTACCTTCAGCTTCCTTCTTCATTGAAAGTGTAGATTTTTATCGCTCAAGCTTGCGTCTAATGACATGGGACTCTGGAGTTGATTTGGTTTGGATCCTGAGTGCTGCTAGCCGTGTGTATTGATTGAATTCCTTATGTTGAACCTCAGTTTTCTCATCTGTCAAATGGGGTCAGTAGTTTCTCTCAGAATGGTTTTGACGGGTCAGTGTGACAAATGCATGCGAACTGCTTAGTAAAAAGTGTAAATATTACTGATGGGGATGATAATAAAGAACTACTCTGATGTGGGGGTAAAGACTGTCTCCAAAAGCCGAAAAGAGATAATGGAAGCTTGGGAAATCTGTCATCTACAAAACTAATTTTTGAATCTGGGAGTCTACTTGGCTATAAAGCAGGTCAAAAGTCAGATGGGATTCCAAAGGAACCTGGGGAAAGCAGTGTTCCTTTGCGTAGGCGGGTGCCTCAGGGCACACGCAGGTAATAGGCGAGAAGACACTGGCCTGAGCTGGTTTGGCCCCTCGGCCTGTCCTGGTTTGCAGGAGCAGGTCCTACTGTGGAACATCAGCAAAGAGAAGGCACGTCTCTCCGGGTTGCTGAGGCCAAGAGCAGGCCGGGCACTTCCTTCTGGGCTGGTCATTCTCAGCTGTTATTTGGGTTCCTCAGATGCAAGTTCAGTAAAGTTTTGTGAGTATAGGCACTGGGAATTGGGGTTAAGGACCAATTAGGATTTAAAGAGTTTGGCCCCAAGGATGTGGATTGCAGCCTTATTTATACTGATGAAGAATTGCAGATAACTTAATTATCCACCATCCTAAACATACAACCTTGGGATATTGTGTAAGTAAAACCAGAACATATTTAGAGCTGTTAGCCTTTAAAAACAAAAAAGTTGCTGTGAAGAATTAACACTTGAAAAAGCATTCACAATATACCATTAACAGGAAAAAAAACTATATAATACTAAACAATATGACTCCAATTAATTATTAAGAATGAAATACGTGGAGGAAAGAGAAGGCTGTGCATTTGTTAGTGGTGGGTGACCTCCCCTGAATAGTGGGATAATCATTAACCTAATTTCTTCTTGGTGCTTTGCTTTTCCTTCCCAATTAAAAAAGTTATTTTTTATTTAAAGTGTAGTTGATTTACAATGTTGTGTTAGCTTCCGGTGTACAGCATAGTGATTCAGTCATACCTATATATACATCTTTTTCGTTATAGGCTGTTACAAGATATTGAATACAGTTCCCTGTGCTGCACAGTAGGATTTTATTGTCTGTCTGGTTTCTATACAGTAGTATGTATCTGCTAATCCTGAACTCCCAATTAATCTCTCCTCCCCCTTTCCCCTTTGGTAACCATAAGTTTGTTTTCTATGTCTGTGAGTCTGTTTCTGTTTTGCAATTAAGTTCATTTGTCTCTTTTTTTTTTTAGATTCCACATATAAGCGATATCATGTGATATTTGTCTTTCTCCCCATTTTTTTTCAGTGAACATGCATTTCTCATATATCTGGGGGAAAATCACATTATAAATACGAAAATATTTTGGATGGATTTTCATGTTCTTTAAAATTGACAAGCGTTTCTCATGCTTTATTTTTAACGCTCTCTGTGAAGTCTTAACCATTTGATGACCCAGACCTTGTCCCGAACTGAATGCAAATATCTGTTCAGATGATGTGACTTGAGCCTCCAGATCAAAAAAATAGACTTTTTTTCCCCCCAAATGTGTGAACTAGTTGCTTGAGAATGAGGAGGGATAAATGGAAAATTCACAGAGCGGCTTGTTGACGGGTTCTTTGAAGTGAAATTATGTGTTCTTAAAAATAATCTAAAACCAGGAAAGAGAATGTTAGATCCTATCAGCTCAGTTATGAGTGACATAAAAATAATAGACAAGTGCTTTTCCTCTGACTTTCTTTGAGTGTCATTTCATGCTGAAGTCAGTGGAATGATCTGTTTGAGGCGAAATTCTTCCTGAGAGAGCCGTTTGAGAAGGTGGAGCGCATCAGAAGGGCTGTGCTGTCTTGTCCAAACCAACCCCCACTCCCTGCAGAGTTCACACCCTCCTCCGAGGGGTCAGGAGTGATGGCTGCTGACAGCCAAGTCCCTCCCCAGGAATTGTCTTCAGCCACCGAAGGATAGTTTCTCTCTCAAAGTAACAACCCTCCATCCAAAGATGGATGGAGTACAAAGACTAACTCCCTCGCCACGTCTGGGACACCTCAGAGGTTCAGCTCCAGAGTTCCCAGAGGCCTGGCTGATGCCTCTGTGGCAGCCAAGTCGTGCACAGCCCAGGCGTGCAGCCCCGCCTGCAGCCCTCCACTCCAGAGTCTGCTTCTTGAAGCCCCGACGGGACAGTGAGTCGGTTGCGGAGAAGAAAGAGTGGTGCTACTCCAAGCTCCAGCATTCCTGGTCGAACTCGGCTCTCAGGATTGTAGGCTGGTGTCTCCTTGCTCTCTTGCCCTGTTCGGAGCAAGTGGCTTCAATTCTTGGGGGTCCTCAGTGAAAACGAAGGCCGCAGACTTTGGTGGGGGCTGGTGAATCTGCTTACCTCTCCCCTTGTGCCTCCCCACCCTCTACCTCCTGCGCCTGCTGACAGTGGCCGCTCCCAGAGGCCAGCCCTGCCTGCTGGGGACAGGCTGCCTGGCCCCGGTCCGCTTCCAAGGGCTTGTCGGTCTGGACCGGAAGGGCGTCCGCCTGTGCCCAGAACAGACCTGTGCTTCTGCTGAGGCCAGGATCTTGGGCAGCCCTTTGCCTGGGGCTGTCCAAGCGCTGGGCTTTACTGCTGCACAGCTCTTTAAACCAAATCAAGTGGCACCTCTGTTGATAAGCAGACGGGCAAATGGAGGACGGTTGCTTTCTTAGCGTTTGGTTGGGGGCCACTCCTCATGCCTGCAGGACAGAGTTCCATCTCTTCAGCTTGGCACTGCCTGCCTCTTGAGCCTCCGATCTACTCCCTGTCCCCACGCCTTGAATCTGAGTGCACAGTCACGTTGGACTGGGATCTCCCCAGATGCCTTGCTGGTTCATGGCTTCCAGTGTCCTCTCCCTGGAATGCCCGGAATCCCCCCTTGTCGCATGGGTGGCCCCTCATCTGTTTCCTCTTTTCTGGCCTTTCTTTCCCCAACAGGGAACGTGCTGGGCCTTAAGCATCTCTTTTTTGAGACTTCCCCTGTCGTTGTTCCTTTGTGGCCTCCTGCCCTGTGAACTCTGGAAACTTCTCTCCTGCCCTTTCCTCGCTGTAGTGGCGCGGCCCATTTCCTGGCTGGACCTCTGGTCTCCAGACTTGCTCCTGCGTGCCTAGCGGGAAAGAAATATTGATCATGTGTTTCCAACATTGGTATTTTCACATACAAATTATATGCACGCGCTCTGTGCTAATATAGCACATCTACTACGATAATAAGTTTATAAACATAGACACTTGAAAGGATGAGATAAGGGAAGTTTTGTTTTCTTCACACAGCCCCCTCTGAGGGCCTCTGGACTAGAATTCCTAGATTGAGAACTCCTTGGCTGGGGGAGGTCAGGGATCGTGTCTCCCCTGCGTCCTCAGTGCCTGGTACTGATGAGGCAGACTTGACTTTGTGGAGGAAGTTAGTTTTTGGGTGTGAGAAGCACTTGCTGGAAAACAGACAATGCAGGGAGATCTGGGCCTTCTGATGGTCTTGGTCCATCCCAGTGTTGGAGCTTTTGTGGGGTGCCACCGCTCCTGCCCCGAGGATTCTATCCTGTTCACAGAATTCCAGAGTGTGATAATAACAACACTGATACTTTTCATTTACTTGGTAAACATTTATTGAGCACCTAGTGCATGCCAGGCGCTGTTGCACAGATTGTACACAAGGACATCACCTCAAGGAGCCCTGCCCCCCGGGAGAAATTGACCAATAGATGCGCAGTTCCTGTCCGTGGTGACAAGGAGGCACCTGAACAGTGTGGGGTAGCTGTGAGTCAGGAACTGCTTCTCAGAGGGGTTGGTGCTTGATCTGACCCTTGAGGCTTCCCACTTGGAAGACAGGTGGAGGGTGGGCATCCCTGGAGCTGCGTGTTGTTTATCCCGGTGTACCGGGAGTGGCATCTGGCATGTGTAAACTATGTCTCGTGTTCTCAAGATCTTTCAAGAAGTTTATGTGACTGAGCCTCTTTAACAATATCTCCTCCCTGTGGGATTTAGGGATTTACCCCACTTTTTACAGATGTGGAGACATCCCAGAGAGGACAGCGAAAGAGGGCTGGTAGCCTAGGATAGAACCCGCTTTCCTTGGCCAGCCCACTTCCCTAGCCCTGCAGCCCTGCCCCTGCAGCCCCGTCCCTGCCTGCTAGAAGGGCTGGCGTGGCCTCCATAGCGGGGTGTGTGGGGAGAGGGTCTGCGGCTCCCTTGGGCCCTTGCAGAGCTGACAGTGGGGGTTAGTATGCCAAGAACTCCTCGCATGAATCCTTCTGGCCCAGGCTGTCACCTGGCTTGTGTCAACATGTAGGTCACCAAGGCCCTTGGCCTGGACCTGAAGCAAAGAGGGCAGCATCATGGATGGATCCTGGACTCTTGATTTATTTGGAACTCCTAGGGAAATTCTCCCTCTGGGGAGTTGGAGAGGGAGAGGGAAGTAACAGATCTGATCAGCCCCTTACTGGCAGAGTAGATTTAGTAGAAGCCTAGACCCACCCCTCTTTCCTCGCACACACCTGCTTGAGAGAGAGCTCCTGCGGACAGGACTGTGTCTGAATCAATGGGTGGGGAATGGGCTTTGGAGCCTGATAGGCCTCAGTTTGCCATTTGCTAGCTCTGTGACCTTGGACAAGTTACTTACCCTGAAAGCCTTGACTTCCTTCTCTGTAAAATGGGATAACAACAGATTCTCCCACAGAACTGCCATGAGGACTAAATGCAGTTCTGCATAGAGCTTAGCAGCATGCCTGGTAGGTATTAAATTATAGAGTAAACGTCTCCACATGTTAGCTGTTCTAATCACCTTCCGTGCTCCCAGTGTGCCTGGCTTGCAGTGAGGGTACTGTTTGTTGAAAGAATATATGAACTCAGGTTTGTTAGCATTTGTTAAATAAGGAAGTAGTAACATTTGAATGGAGTTGTTTCTGGCCTTCAATAAATGAAGCTGGCCTGGTAGATTTTTACTGCAGGGAAAAGCATCCAGTTTTCCTAACTCCCCTGGCTCTGAGGTTTTATGATTCTTCTGTACCGCCCTTAAGATTTTCTTCAATGTAAACACATGGAGGAAGGTGGTATTTTACAACCAGAGTCTGGTTTGGCCCCTGGTGTCCACTGCTGGCTTCCATCTGAGAGTCTAAGGCTGTTGATTGAACTGGTTGGTCTGGTGCCTGGTTACTGGCATGAGGACATCAGGGTAAGTGCTTTTTCCCCCCAGATGTGGTTCTGACGGTCAAGTGGCCAGAATGTGGAGCTCCCCCAGCAGGTTTGCTAGGGAGTGGTTTTCCAGGAGGCTGCCTGCTGAGGACACAGGAGTGGCCATGCAGCTGACAGTGCCTGGAGTGTCAGGAAGGGAGCTGGGAGCCCTGAAGCCTGCCTGTGCCCACAGGCTGGAGGCAGCAGCCCAGAGGATGTGGGGTCGGGAGGCTCTAGATCTCAGGGCTCCAACCTCGACTGTGCCCCTCCCATCCCAGGCCCCTCCCCTAATTATCCCTGTCCCATCTGTGACTGAGGGAGGGGAAGGGGCTGCAGAGGGGTGTGACCAGTTCAGGCAGGTGATCCTTGGGTTGGAGCAGCTGAGAGCCCCCAGTTGAGAGAGCAGGGAGTGGGGAACCCAGGCCTGCACCTGGAGACTTGGCTTGGCTGCATGAGTCTGCTGCTCATGCACTGTGTGACCATGAACAGGACATCTGAGCTGCAGTTTCTTTGGCCATAAATGGGGAAACTGGCCCCTTGGGTACTTTCCCGATTTGTGATGCTGAAACACCCTGGAGAATTGCCAGTGACTGTCGTGGGTTTGTTTTTTTTTTTTTTAAATAGGCAATTCATGCATGTGGTGAAAGATATTGAAAAGTTATAAAAGGATGTAGTGCCATACCCCATTGCACACCATCCAGTTTCCCTTCTCAGAGGTATTCACTTTGAAGTTTTTAGAGATCTTCTATGCATGTGCACCCAGAAATGTACACACTTGTTCCTGCCTTTAAAAATGTTTAATTGTGAAATAGTATATATCCAAAAGCGTGTATAAAATATGTATGTACTGTCTAAAGAAGGATAAACTGAACACCTGTGTTCCCACCACTCAGGTTGAGAAATAGAAAATTTCCAGTCCATTGGGTAGGAATCCTTCCATTTACTGTGTTCCTCGCTGTTTGTGTCATTCTGTACTTTTTTTTTTTTAACTTATGATATCTGGGACTTTGGCTCACATCAGGACATATAAAGTTATCTTGTTCTTTGGAATAGCTGTATAGTATTTCCTCTTTGTGGACATGCCATTATTTTGCTTTATTTTTTAAGACAATCCCCTCTTGATGGGTATTCAGGGTGTTTCCAATCTTTGGCCTTTACCAACAAGGCTGCAGTCATTCTTCCGGCTTCCAGGAACTGACATTATTCAAAACATGCTGTGAGAGGTCCAGTTGCATCAGCCTCCCTGACCTGTCATTCGTCTCCAGAACAACCTGGAAACACTCAAAGCAGGGAAGCCCTGTATAGCTCTGGCTTCCTCACACCTGGACATCTTGGGCCCCTCTCCCTGCGCCTCCCCGGAGCCGGCGCGGCCCGTCTGACGCCTGATGCCATGTTTCCCTCCGGAAGCCCCTCGGCCGGGTCCCCTGCTGGGTGTCCCCGGGTGCTGGAGATCCTCTGCTGATGGGAACTCAGTTGCGGGCTTCTCTCCAAGCTGAAAAGTTCCTTCTTCTGATTATGCAACATCCCTGCGAGGGGCCAGAGTCTGTACTTCTGCTTTTCTTCATCTTTCCAACGATGGGAATGAGGCCAAGGAGCTGGTTTGGGGATTCAAGCCCAGGCCACTTGTGTTTCCGAGACAGTCCTCCTCACTTTCCCTTTCCTGCTTCATCTGCCTCTGCCTCATTTCCTTCTTGCCCTTTTCTCTCTCCCTTTGTGTTCTTTTTCCTTTTCCCACATCCCCACACCTTCCCCCTTGGACTGGAACTGCTGGTGAGCGGGCTTGTTCTGTCATCCACACGTGCGAACACGTTCTGACCCTCCTTGCCTTGCTCTTCCGGACCGGCCCCTGCTTAGAAGTTGAGGGGTGGTGGATGCTAAGGTCAGAGGTCAGTGAATTGGGGGCCCTGAGGCCTTGGCTCCTTTTCTGCTCCTTCTTTCTCCTGTTGAGCGGGTCTTCTACCCCTGGTCTCTTGACTTCCACCTTCTTCAGGGTGTGCAGTTGGGAAATGGGGAGGGCAGACCTGCCCTGGAGGAGGCCCTGAAGCGTCAGCAGGATGGATGGGGACGGCCTTTGGGTTTGTGGGGCAAGGGGCTGGGAGGTGGAAGGGTCCTCAGGGAGAAGAGGAGGTGCAGGCACCTTGTCACAGTGACAGTGTTCCCTGGGTTTGCCAGTCCGGGCGGAAAGGTGATGAGCCAGAAGCTTGTCAAATAAAGTTGGTTCAGAGAGGCCAGTTGGCCAACCTCTGGAAGGACATTTGTGTTTGTGGACCTGTGTGTGTCTGTGTGTTCCCCTCTCTGGAAGGTAGTCCAAGAGCTGAGCAAGTATGTGGAC